GAACCGCTGGCCTCAAGGTCCAGATGAAATGCGAGTTTGCCAGGGAGGGAGCTTGGCCCGTGTTTCATGAGTCCTGGCTGCAGGGAGGGGATACAGCCTCTCACAGGGCTGGACCAGCACTGCATTCCTGGACACCACGCTGAGTCCTGAGAGTAACGGGAGACGTACCAAGTGTGACATGCTCTGTTTAGGCTGCTATGCATCTAAGAGTATGGGACTGCTGTGAATTCATCGCATGGCAGAAACGCAGAGGTGGCTTCTCAAAGGGAACACGGGCTTGGAGGGCTCCAGCCGGTGGAGGGAGGTACTCGGACACGGAAGCAGACCCAGACGCTTGATCCTTTCCACGAGGGCTTGACATCACAAAGGTTAGCACCAGAAGTGGTTCCCTTGGCTGACCCCAAACACCAAGAGGGGACAGACAGCCCTGACTCCTGCGTGAAAACACAAAGCTTCTGCGGTCCCTCTGGGGGGCCGTGTAAAGGTGCCTCTCTGCGCCGAGATGCACAAAGGAGAACCAGGGGCAAACTCCAGCCCTCAGAGGCACGCCGGGGACAGGAAGGACGGGGGTGCCTTCTCTGCAGCCACGGTCTCCCAGCCTCGACACAGTCCGACACCCCACGCGGCCCTGGGTGGGAGCACAGCGCGTGCCATCTCCCCATCCATGGGCTTCCGTTATCACGTTCATTCCCCTTCTTTTCCGCCAGAAACACAATTCTAAGCGATGGCTGCACACTTGGGCCAACCCACAAGAGCCTAATAATCCTGTAATGAAGTGGAACCGCAGCACCAATAATTCTATCAAACTGAACCACTACGCGCGGCGGCTTCAAACGTGTCTGCGGCTCCCAATGCGGCTCTGGAACGCCGGCTCCCTGGCAGCGCACGTGGTGGCTTCCCACCCTAAGGCCGAGGCAGAGACTCTTGTTCTGGGGGCCGGGGCTACGAAGCTGAGAAGGAGAGCACCGCCTGGGTGGCTGTGTGTGGGAGAACAGGGTGAGCAGGTGGCGTCAGCCGTGCAGGCAGCGTGGGCTGGGGGGCTGAGTTCAGGGGGGAGGAACCCCTGGGGCAGAGAGATGATGCTGAAAGCTGAAAAGTTTCAAGAAAAGGAAACAAAGGAAAGATATGGGGACCCACTGACTGGGGTCTGAAACACCGACTTCATTTTCTGATATTTTCTCATTTCACGGCTCCAGGTTAAAGCCTGGTCAGTCCAGAGGCCAAAAACTTGCTGCTCTAGGTTGACTCCCACGGTCCCACTGGGTTCTAAAAACCTGAGACTCTGTGATTCTGAGGCAAAGCACTGTGTCACAGTCACCAAAGAAAAAGGGAGAGAATTAAGAGAAAGAAAAGAAGAGTGCAATACGGACGATGGAAAGGGGTCCAAGGAGAGAGAAAGTGTGTGAGCGCCAGGCCTTCTGGAGTGAGAAGTACTAATGAGACAGCAGGGCAGGAAATAACAACACAGGGTCACCCCTCAGCTCCCTCAGATAGAGACTCGGTCTGGAGTGGATGATGCCCTCAAAGACCCTGAAGTTATCTGCCAGACTTGCTATGCCGGCGTGGACTTAGTAGCGTGTATGGGGAACTCCCTTCAGAGGATCTACTGCAAACATCTGGTAACCTCATCAGTGGGATGGAGAGCGTGCCCCGCATCAGAGTGAAGAGAAGAAACGTAGCCGCAAATACACCCTCAAAGGACGACACTTATTTAGGAGTCCTTCCAGGTTCTCCCAAGTCCCTGACTCTGCTTTACGCAGCCTACATTCCCCCCCCCCCCGCCCACCAGCGCCCTGAGAACATGAATTCCAAGAGGAGAGAGATTTTTGTCTGTTCTGTAGATGGTTGTTAATTTCCAGTGCCCAGATCAGTGCCTAAGACATAGTAAATGTTCAATAAATGTTCCTTGGAGGAAAGGAGTGAATAATACCTATTTTACAGGGAGAGCACCCAGAGTTGTTTTAAAAGTAAAAAATTTTTTTCTTTACGGCCCGCCCCCCATTACTCTCTCCGCAGCCCCCAGTCTGGGATCACGGTCCCCGCTGGCTTTGGGAAGAGCATCCCACAAGCCCGAATTAGTTTACCTTCTTTCCACATACTTCTTTGGGGAAGACTTTCCTCATTAGATGGGGACTAATTTCAGTGCCGAGCTCCCGGGCATCCTGATCTTTTAGCATCACTTATGCAAATCCACGGCACCTGGACCAGCGCAGGGAGGGAAGCGAACTGCGTGATGAACCTGGACGGCAGGATCGATTTCCAGAGTCAGCCTCCTGACAGGGCCCTCCCTAAATGTTTTCTGATGATGGCCAAGTGGGCAAGCTCAGGCCTTTCTCCCCAGAAACACGATCCTGCTTTCTATACCGACAAGTATTACTTCAAATCCCTAGTGGGCAGTCCAGGATATGGAAATTATAGTAATCTAATCTTGTAGAGGAAGAAGTATGAATCATCATTACACGGTCTGACAAAGAGCTAAGTGATTAATCCCAGGTTGCACAGAGGCTGGGGTCCATGGTGATGGCTACCCGTGGGCTACCACCCAAACAGTGGGACCCGGCCGGCAGACATCCGACAGGCAACATCACGGCTTTCATCCCAGGGGAGCACCAAGAAACAAAGGGCCATGTTCTCAGGACCACGCTGCAAAGCTCTTGATTCTTTGGAAAACTCTTGACTGTGCGCCAGAGGAGTGAGAGAATCTGGGGCTCAAAAATCTTGTCTCTCTTCTGACTCTGGTGTCACACGCTTAAGTTCTGAGGTTTACTTTTCAGGAGGAACTGGGAGGTTTGCGGAATAATGGTGTCTCAAAAAGTGACCAGACACTCCTATCCTCTCCAGGGAAAACAAAAGACTACGGTTAGGAAAAGACACCACCAACAACCAGGATGTGCTCTTCACCACATCACAGACACCTACCGCTCTGAAGGAAGGTCTTGACCTTTTCCTGAAACTTGCAAAAAGAACACTGAAGCTCCCCAGCCCCCATCAAGAAACCACAGCCCCAGGCACCCTGGGAAACTTGGTCAGGGCGCCCACAGCCCTGAACCATCACTGGGCTTGGCGCTTTTTTCCCTCCACTTTTTCTCTTGCACAGCTGTGTTCAATTTTCTGTCCTTGGGGTTTTTAAAGGAACATTTATTCTAGGGCCAGGATTCTCCAGTTTTACGGTTATACAACTCCCTCTCAGGGCCAAAGAATGTTTGAAAAGCCTTAAGCCCAGCACAGAGAGTTAGTAAAAGTATCCAAACGAAAGTGAAATGAAAAGTCAAGACTTGTTCCAATGTCGATTCAACCTCTTACTTGACTGCGCTGTACCTTCTGTTTGCCCTGCAAGACATTTGTGTGTGTGTGTGTGTGTGTGTGTGTGTGTTTGCGAGCAGGTAAGGAACAGAGAAGTCCAAAGGTGTATTTATATTCTTCCCACGGTTACTGTTCCCTGTTCGATGGTAAATTTTATTTTAAATAAGACCTCCATCTTCAATTGGATGGAATAAAAGATCACAAAGAAAGATTCCTTGAGGATTTTTAAGAGCTTGTTTGTTTTTCCTAGTTAGAGAGCCAGACAGTACTAGGTTTTTGGTAGTAGGATAGCAGTTTAAAAAAAAAAAAAAACAACCCTAGTTTTTACTTAAATGGTGAAACTAGCGGCACTGTTAGCTGAAACGCCCTAAGTACATTACCAACATCCAAAAGCACAGACCCACACACGTACGCGCCAACCAAACAGCGTGAGGCTCCCACCAGCCGTGAAATGCTATCCAGGCTTCTGAGTGCAGCCGAATGGAGCTGTTTCAGAACGCCCAGCAGTCTCTTACCCGTCCGCTTCTCTTCTCTTTTCCTGTCACCTAGACTCCCACGTCTCAAAGAAATCTGCCCAAAGGCTCTGTCTAATACAGGTTCATGAACATCACTCTTTTTTTGCCCCCTGGAGTCTCCCAAAGGCCATCCGCCTGCTAGATACACACTCCCCTTGATCTGACAGATAAAGCAGAGGTCGGGCGCTGAGGCCTGAGCTATGTGACACAGCACACAGCACCCACATGAGAGGCCTGGCCGCAGCCCAAGGCAAACAAGATGATTTTGAGAAACGAAGTAATACGCACAGACTCACCGTCGAGCAGAGAAAACTGAATCCGTTTTCCACCGTGGAAGGATCTGAAATGCTGTCGGTAGCACCTGCTAAATACAGTCCGGTTCTCTGAAAACGATGAGCAGATACTGTAAACTAACCTTGCGACCGGATCACGATCAGAGACAAGAGGCAGGCTTCCCTCAAGGGGCCGACGTGAGCAGAGCACATGATACCTTTCCCTTTCGACCACCTTCTCCTGCTCTTTTAAGATCAAGATATCAAAAGTGCCCTTTAGCACGGCCTTACAGGCAAAATGACAGGTTAATGTTCACGTGATTCCTCCCAGATAACCAGACTCTAATTCTCCCGTGATTGGAAGTTGCCGGAAGTTAGTGAACGTCTCTAAACCTAGGGCAGGGGACAGCTGAAAATGCAGATTCTGAAGTCAGGGTGTCTTTGAAGTCGGTAATTTCCTCAAGTAGGACACACTTCTAATAGCATCTTCTCATAATAATCAATGAAAAACCCTGTGGATCTGTGCTCTGGAACAAAGATGCTCCTTTCAGAATAAGAATGTTTTCATGAAAGTAATACAGAAAAATTCTCCCCTCAAAATCCCCAAACACATGCTCCCTACCTGTACAAGGAAACACAGCCAAACAACAATAACCACATAAAAATAATTTTTCAAACCACACATCCAAGAAAAAAAAAAAATCTTTACAAGAAGCTATAAGCGGGGCTTGAGAAACCAGGATGTTTTCTAACATCACGCCAAGCCAGTTAGAACACACTGGGTTTTAAAAATACGGTTTTACGATAGCCCATTTACATTCCATATAAGAAAAGACAGAAATGTGGCTGAGAACGGTCAGATACAACTTTAAAATCTGACTCACTGAAGCGTGTAGGCACACACACTCACCCCTTGTAGAAGAGAAAACAAACACCACTTGGGCTCATCCAAAATGTGCGGCCTTTAATCACGGTCTCATGATGTTTACCCAGAACGTCCAACGCACTTTATAGCCTAAGGAGCAGTCCAAGCTCTCAACAGAAGGTTGTCACTTGAGGGACCGTGTGTCTTGAAGAGCTGTTTTCACACGATCTAAATGAATAAGGAAGCATGGGGGAAGCAATGCACTGATGCAAATGGTAAGACCCACAGTCATCGCACCTTCGAGGCGTATGAAATGCATTCCGCCTCGAGCATCTGCATGTGTGCCTTTTGAGAAAGTCACCCCCTGCTCCCTCCACCTCGCTTCAAGGACCCGCTGTAGTCTCGGGGGCCCCAGTGCTGGGATCCACTGATGTCTGAAGAGATGCAAGGCAGTGATGTAGGTACAGCCAGGACTTCACTTTACAGAGACCTGCACTGCATCTGAAAGCCTGTGGAATGTCTTTTCTCTTTAATCTGATTTCAAATGAAGATTTTATTTATTTATCTTCAATTTTAAAAACTTTTTATTGAAGTACAGTTAATTTACAATGTTGTGTTAGTTTTTGGTGTACAGCAAAGTGATTCAGTGTATCATATATATGTATTTGTATTCTTTTTCAGATTCTTTTCCATTATAGGTTGTTACAAGATATTGAATATAGTTTCCTGTACTATACAGTAGGTCCTTGTTGGTAATCTATTTTATATATAGTAGTGTGTGTACATTAATCCCAAACTCCTCATTTATCCCTTCCCCCCCACCTTTCCCTTTTGGTAATCGTAAGTTTGTTTTAATTAATTAATTACTTTATGGCCGCTTTGGGTCTTCTTTGCTGCACACAGGCTTTCTCTAGCTGCGTCGAGCGGGGGCTACTCTTCACTGAGTTGCGCGGGCTTCTCGCGGTGGCTTCTCTACTTGTGGAGCATGGGCTCTAGGCATGCGGACTTCAGTAGTTGTGGCATGTGGGCTTCAGTAGTTGTGGCTTGCGGGCTCTAGAGCGCAGGCTTCAGTAGTTGTGGCATGTGGGCTTCAGCAGTTGTGGCGCACGGGCTTAGATGCTCCATGGCATGTGGGATCTTCCCGGACCAGGGCTCGAACCCATGTCACCTGCATTGGCAGGCAGATCCTTAACCACTGCGCCACCAGGGAAGTCCATAAGTTTGTTTTCTATGTCTGTGAGTCTGTTTCTGTTTTGTAACTAAGTTCCTTCGTATCATTTTTAAAGATTCCACATATGAACGATATCATATGGTATTTGTCTTTCTCTGTATTACTTACTTCACTTAGTATGATCATCTCTAGGTCCATCCATGTTGCTGCAAATGGCATTATTTCATTCTTTTTTACGGCTGAGTAATATTCCATTGCATGTGTGTACCATATCTTCTTTACCCATTCATCTGTCAATGGACACTTAGGTTGTTGCCATGTCTTGGCAATCGTAAATAATGCTGCTATGAACATTGGCCTCACTGGAAACACTTCCCTCACTGCCTGTACTGCTCTTATCCATACCCCTCCTCAATCCACTCTGGTCTGGGGTTCCCACTACCGAGCTACCCTCGTCAAGGCCACCCGAGCTCGGGGACCCCGCACTCTCCCCACTCCTGCCTGGCTGCCTCTCCTCCACCCCACCCCGTCCCGAGCTTCATTAACAATCTCTCTCTCTCCTCTCTCTGCGATCCTCTCCATGGATTTATCTATGACCTACATTCTATCTCCAGTCAGAACCACTCCTCGGAGCTCCAGCCTCACATTCAGCTGTCTACTGAACACCTCTATCTCGATACTCAACAGGGACCTCAAACTTACTATGTCCACGACAGAACTCTCGATTCTCAAAGCTGGCCCCCCTCATTAAAAAACAAACAAACAAAGAACAGAAAAGAAAAACGAAACGAAGAAATCCCTCCTCCCCCAGTCTTTCCTCTCCTCAGAAGTTGCTAGAATTTGGGAGTCATGCTTCCTGCTCCCCTCGTCCTCACTCCCCGAATCTCATCCGTCACCAGGTGCTGACAGCTGTACCTCCAGGACACACCCCTTTCCCTTACAACATACAACAGCTTTACTGATGTATAATGCATACGCCATGCGACTCACCAATGTAAGGTGTACACGTCAATGGCCTGTAGTAGGTCCATGGAGCTGTACGACCATTATCGCATCAGTTGTAGACATTTTCATCACCCCCAAAGGAAACCACACACCCACCAGCAGTCAGTCTCAATTTCCCCTTGAACAATCCAGTCCTAGGCAAACATTGATCTACTTCACGTCTCTGTAGATTTGCCTGTTCTGGAAACTTCATATAAATGGACTCACACAGTACATGGTCACTGGTGTCTCGCTTCTTCCAGTTAGCCTATCTCCAGTATTCATCTATGCTGCAGGATGTATCAGTGTTCCATTCCTCTCTATAATCAAACAACATCCTGTCATATGAACATACAATGTTTTATTTGTTCATCAGTTAATAGACTTTGGGTTGTTTCTATTCTTTGGCAATTGTGAATAATACTGCTAGGAGAGGCAAACTATTATATATAGGATGGATAAACAACAAGGTCCTACTGTACAGCACAGGGAACTATATTCAATATTCTGTGACAAACCATCATGGAAAAGAATATGAAAAAGAATATATATATGTATAATCGAATCACCTTTCTTTACAGCAGAAATTAACACAACATTGTTAATCAACTAGACTTCAATAAAATGAAAAAAAAATAAAACTGCTATGAAAAGTTTTTATACAGAAAAATGTTTTCATTTCTCTTGGGTGTACACCTAGGAGTGGACATGCCAGGTCATAAGGTAAACTCTATGTTTAACTATGTTAGGAACTGCCCGACTGTTTTCCAAAGCAGCTGCTTGGGAAAGAGTCTGCATTCCTACCAGCCGCGTAGGAGAGTTCGAATTTCTCCATATCCTCACCAACACTTGTTACTGTCCATCTTTCATAGAGGGTTATGAAGTGGTAGCTCACTGTGGGTTTGATATGCATTTCCATGATGGCTGGTGATGTTGAAAATCTTCTAATGTGCTTATTGGCCATTTACATATCTTCTTTGCCTACTTCAGATATTTACCTATTTTTGAATTAGGTTTTTTAATAAATTTATTTATTTATTTTATTTCTGGCTGCGTTGGGTCTTCATTGCTGCGCGCGGGCTTTCTCTAGTTGTAGTGAGAGGGGGCTACTCTTGTTGCAGTGTGTGGGCTTCTTATTGCGGTGGCTTCTCTTGTTGCGGAGCACGGGCTCTAGGTGAGCAGGCTCAAGAGTTGTGGCACACGGGCTCTAGGGCACAGGCTCAGTAGTTGTGGCGCACGGGCTTAGTTGCTCTGCGGCATGTGGGATCTTCCTGGACCAGGGCTTGAACCCGTGTCCCCTGCACTGGCAGGCGGATTCTTAACCACTGTGCCACCGGGGAAGCCCAAGGTTATCTTTTTATTATTGAGTTGTCAGAGATACAAGTCTAGAATACATGATTTGCAAATATTTTTTCTCATTCTGTAGGTTGTCGTTTCACTCTCTTATCAGTGTCTTTTAATACACAAAATTTTTTAATTTTTGTTGAAGTCCAATTTATTTTTCTGTTGTCACTTGTACTTTTGGTGTTATACCTTGAAAAATCATTGCATAACCCAAGGTCATGAAGATGAACACCCACGTTGTCTTCTAAGAGTGTTACAGTTTTAGCTCTTATATTTAAGCCTTTGATCCATTCTGAGTTAATTTTTGTATATAGTGTAAGGTGGGGTCCAACTTCATTCTTTTGCGTGTTGATGTCCAGTTGTCCTAGAACATTTGTGGAGGAGACTATTTGCCAGTGAATTGTCTTGGCACATGTGTCAAAAATCAATTACCATAAATGTAGGAGTTTATTTCTGGTCAATCAATTCTATTCCAAAAACCTATATGTCTATCTTTATGCCAGAACCACTGTCCTAATTACTGTATTAAGTTCTGAAACCAGGAAGGGTGAGTCTTCCAAGTCTGCTCTTTGTTAAGATTGTTCTGGGTATTCTGGGTCCCTTAAATTCCTATATGAACTTTAGGGCCAGTCTGTCGGTTTCTACAAGGAATCCATCTGAGATTCTGAGAGAGAGACTCTGCGTTGACTCTATGATCAACTCAGGGAGCACTTCTGCCATTTTAACGGGAACGTCTTCTGATTCATGAACATGGGATGTTTTCCCATTTATTCGGCACTTTCTAATTTTGTTCAACATTTTGCAGTTTTAAGAGCATGTTTTATACTTCTTTAACTACATTTATTCCTAAGTACAGGCACACCTTGTCTTATTGTGCTTCACTTCATTGCACTTTGCAGATACTGCCTTTTTCATATGAAGTGAAGGTTTGTTGGCAACCCCGCGTTGAGCGAGTCTATTGTTGCCATTTTTCCAACAGCATTTGCTCACTTGGTGTCTCTGTGTCACATTTTGGTAATTCTCACAATACTCCAAACTTTTTCATTGTTCCATTTGTCATTATGATCTGTGATCAGTGATCTTCAATGTACTATTGAAAAAAGATTATGACTTGCTGAAGGCTCAGATGATGGTACTTTTTAGCAGTAAAGCATTTTTTAATTAAGGCATGTACATTGTTCCTTTAGACCTAATGCCACTGCATACTTAATAGACTACAGACAGTGTAAACATAACTTTTATATGCACCGGGAACCCAGAGTATTTGTGTGACTCACTTTATCGTGATACTCACTTTACTGCGGGGGTCTGGAACCAAACCCGCAATATCTCCGAGGTATGCTTGTGTTTCATTCTTTTTCATGCTGTTGTAAAAGGAATTATTTTCTTAATTTCATTTCAGACTGTTTGTTCTAAGTGTACAGCATTACAGTTGACTTTTGTAGACTGATCTTGTATCCTGCAACCTTTCTGAATGTGTCTTTTAGTTCTAACGGTTTAGTGGATTCCTTAGGGTTTTCCATACCCAAGATCATGTCACCTGCAAGCAGAGACAGTTTCACTTCGTTCTTCCCAATCCGGAGGCCTTTCGTATTCTTCAGTAACTGCCCTGGCTAGACCTCCCAGGAGAATACTGAGCAGAGGTAATGAGAGTGGGCATCCTTGTACTGACCCTAATCTTAGGGGGAAAGCTTTCTGTCCACAATTAAGTATGACGTTCGCTGTGGGGTTTTCATAGGTGCTCTTTTTAGGCTGAAGACGTTTCCTTCGATTCCTAGTTTGTTGTTGTTTCATTTATTTATTTACTTATTTAATTATTTGGGCCGTGCTGGGTCTTAGTGGCAGCATGCAGGATCGTTAGTTGTGGCATGTGTGATCTAGTTCCCTGACCAGGGATTGAACCCAGTCCCCCTGCACTGGGAGCACAGAGTCTTAGCCACTGGACCACAGGGAAGTCCCTGGTTTTTTTTGTTTTTTTTATCTTAAAGAGGTATTGGAATTTCTCAAATTCCAAATTTGTTTGCATAACAAATTTCCAAATTTATCTGCATGAGACACACCCGTGTGCAATTGTGCTTCCCTCTGTATTCTCTCCCTATACCATCTCCACAGCTCAGTATCACTCATCTTTCCAGGTCTGTACTTCAGGGCCATGCTGGACCACCCTATTCAAAGTTCCCATCCACCGCTACCTCCTCCCGCGTCAGCCCTCACACAGCCTTTGACGCACTCGTCATTATTGTTCTCAGTACAGATTTGCTCACCCCTCACACAGCCTTCGACGCACTCGTCATTACTGTTCTCAGTACAGATGTGCTCACGTTTGCATAGGGTTCAGTATTTGCCAGCATGAATGCATCGTTGCAATCCTCACAACAACCTTACTAGGTAGATGCTATTAACACAGTTTCACCGATGTTGAAATTGAACGAGAGGTTAAGTGTCTTGTTCAAAGTCATGCAGTTTATAAGTGGCAGACTCAGGATTCAAACTCAGGGCCCATCACTCCTGAGACCATTGTCTTAAACCTCTGGCTGTCGTGCCTATCAATAATTGCTCTCACTTGCTTCTTACCATATTTTCTATCTAGACACAAGCAGCAATCTCTTTATCGCTGTACTGTTAGCACCTAACACAAGCGTGGCAGGTGTTAATAAGTACTTAATGAACACATGAACGCGGGACTTAGGATGCCCTGTAAGAAGAGTTCCACGGGACTCTGGTGAGCCCTGCCGGCGACACCGTCCACAGAGAGTCACAAGGCTCATCCACTTCCGAGACCCTTCAGGAAGGAAGGTGAACTTCAATGTTTCTCAAACTCACTGGAGCACAGACCCATCTTCATAGCCCTGTCTCCACTGCACTAACAGTCTAGAGAAGTGTGTTCCATGGAACACACTTTGAGAAACCCTGCCCCAGAGTGGCAGGGCAGATAGCACAGTCCCTAGAAAGGTGCTTCTGCTCCCTTCCGTGCCTGGCTCTGCCCTCCTCTAAAAAGTCTAACTTGGAGTCCCTGAAAGCTCTGTTCAAAAAGGAAACCCCAGGACATTAAGCTTTGCTTTTCTTCCACACATTGGAACACACGGCTACTAAGGAGACAGACAGAGTTTTCCAACGCGTCAGATGGCTCTCCCCTCTGGATGCTGGGGGTCCCATAACTTGTCACTGAGGAACCTTTAATTTTCTCAGACCTCTGGTTTGTTGAGAGTGATTTAAACAAACTCATCCTTCACAACGTCCTTTAACCCAGTCTCAGAACTGCAGCCAAAACCAATGATGTGTCAACCACAGAACAGTTATATTTCTTTCTAAATACTTACCGTAATGTTGATGTTTAAATCATGGCTTCTGATAGAGAAGGACTTCGAAACTCTCCCTGTCTCCGCTCTCCCAGTCTTCTAGCTCATGTACTCCAACTCTTCCTGCAAAAGGAGAAAGAAAGATTTCTGCTCGGAAATCTGAGAAAGAAAACAGCCAACAATATAAGACAGCCACACGCAAGAGCGAGGTGAGATACATGGCTGTGATGCATCTGCTTCTAAAGAGCTTTTCCCTTTCAATGAATCAGCTTACATCGGTGACTACAAATGATAGGCAGTGGTTAGAACATCGGTGACTACAAATGATAGGCAGTGGTTAGAACATCGGTGACTACAAATGATAGGCAGTGGTTAGAATATCTTTTTACACCTCTTAGAAAAAATACTCAATTAAAAATACATTTTTTATAGAGTTATCATATGATCCAGCAATCCCACTCCTGGGCACATATCCAGAGAAAACTCTAATTCGAAAAGACACATGCACCCCAATGTTCATAGCAGCACTATTCACAATAGCCAGGACATGGAAGTAACCTAAGTGTCCATGAACAGAGGAATGGATAAAGAAGATGTGGTACATGTATACAATGGAATACTACTCAGCCATAAACAGGAATGAAATAATGCCATTTGCAGCAACATGGATGGACCTAGAGATTATCATATGAAGTGAAGTCAGACAAAGACAAATATCATGTGATGTAACTTACATGTATAATCCTAAAAAATGATACAAATTAACTTATTTACAAAACAGAAGGCTCACAGACATAGAAAACAAACTTATGGTTACCAAAGGGGAAAGAGGGAGAGGGATAAATTGGGAATTTGGGATTAACATATACACACTAGTACATGCAAAATAGATAACCAACACGGACCTACTGTATAGCACAGGGAACTACACTCAATATGTTGTAATAACCTATAAGGGAAAAGAATTTGAAAAAGAATATAGATATATGTGTGTGTGTTATATATATTTATATAAGTTATATATATTTATATATATAAATTCAGTTTATATATATAAACTGGATCACTTTGCTGTACACCTGAAACTAACACAACATTGTAAATCAACTATACTTCAATAAAATAATAAATAGAATTTTCAAAAAAGAAAAGCAAAAACAAACAAACAAATACATTTTTTCCTTCATCTCAAACTCAGTGAATAAAATCATTTCTACGTGATCGTTCTCCAAAGCTCTGATTTTTCTCTGGTGATGAAATCTGATATCTGATAGCATCAAGATAGCAGAGCTATCTTGAGTAAATATGAGTTCTTTCTACAACACAAATTTACATCAGACCCAAACAAGAGGCTTTGGGAGAGAAGCCTTGTAACAAAGGAAGACTCGAAAAGACAGAGGAGGGTGGGTTGGAACTCATCGAGGAGCTGGATGTGTACAACGAGAGGGTAGCGACAAACGCCCAGGTCCTTAAAAAAGAGAGAGGCTGGGTAAAGAAGTTGAGACCAGCGTAACCCGTCTAGGGCGTCAGGACTGAGGGACTGACTGGACTAGAAACTGGTCTGTGCCATTAATTCCAGGCAGAGAAAATCTTCAGCGTTCATTTCCCTCAAAGGCTGGGGAAACGAGGGAAAACACCACCTGTGCTGGAAGTACAACAGAGTAGGACAGAGGGAAGGATGCACTTCCCTGTGTGATTTTCCGAACTGTGTGTAATTTGCATACAGCATGACTTCCCTGGAAGTACGCTCATTCCTCACCCTCAAAAGGCCAGCTGCTGCCTGTGTGGCACTGCAATGACTCAGCCTGGGAGAGAGGCACCATGCATGAGCAAGGCTCCAGCCTCAGATCCCGGACTAGAGAGGGAAGCCCTAGGTCTGTTAGTTAGTTAATGGTTAGTTGTTCAGCGGTTAGGCTTTGGGAAGTCTTTGGTTTTAGGGGCTAATGAGGCACCTGTTCCTCTCTCTTCCTGATGTCTAGGCAGTACTGGCTTGTATCACCTTTTGAAAACATCATCTTAGGAAAGAGTTCACTCGAGTACAAGAGGCCCTGAGCTGGCGAGCAGCCAGCGTCCTAAAGGTCAGAGCTGGTGTCAGTAGCAGGTTTGGGAAGCACATGGGAGGCGAGCTATCAGAGCCTCTTTTACCTCCTGTAGAGAGAATGGGGTTCATCTCCAGAAGCCCAGGCAGAGGCAATTTACAAGGAAATGAGCCTGTGGGGAGGCGGGGGGGGGGGGGTACAGTCGACCATTTGAAGTTCCCACAAAGCACAAAAACATTGTTACCACTGCTCCGTGAACTTCAGACAGCCCTGAACTCATGACTTGAAGCCACAAAGACGCTTGTGGTTAACACAGACCGACTATTGGGTTTAAGGAGAATTTTTTGTGCCAAAAAAATTTATTTGCCTTCCTCCCCCCAAAATCTGTTTATTATTAAAAAGCCCTGGAGACTTGGGAACTGGGCTAGACCAATGTTAGCCTGTCCTTCTCCCGAGCCTCTTCCAGGCACCAGACTGGGGAGGAAGTACCGGCTTTAGGAAGGAGACCCTCTTTCCACACTGGCTGCAAAGGAAGGGAAACTGAACTTATTTCACGAAGAAAAAAGGCCAAGAAAACCAAAAGAAGCCAAGAGACAAGGGCAGGAGAGGACATACTCATCTCTCTTTCTCTTTGGAGAGCACCCCTCTGTCCTTGGTATACAGCCCCTGGTACCCTCTAGAGCTGGGGTTCTCAATCTCGCATGTACAGAGGGATCCCCCTGGGGCTCTACTACCAGGGGGCGAGAAAGAAGAAAATCTCCAGTGGAGATCGTGAGCCCACAGACCAAGAAGGAGTTTGAAAGTCCCGTACCTGAAACACTTTCATTCTTGGAATCTGCTTTGTCTAAAGACAAAGGGAAACCTTGGTCACTAGATAATAAAACTTCAGAATACAGCATTGGCAGGAAAACAAAACAATGTATCGCCTTAGTGCACTCATGATAACTTGGGGAAAAAAAAACAAAAGAGCAAGGCCCACAGTGAGGCAAGGGTCCAAACTAAGTGACAGGCTGAAGTTTAACTAAACTAGTCAAACCTGTATAAAAGGAGAAAAAATTCCAGAGGAGAACAGGGCACTGGAAGAATCACTATGGTTTTAGTGCAGCAGGAAGACACGTCCAGCTCAAGGTCAGATCCCGCGGGCTTGTCCAGTCTCTCCAGGGCTCTCTCCATCCTTCGAAAGCATATCTTCCTGGTCAAAAATAAACTTTCACTGGACTTTCAGATGATTATCTCTATGCAAAAACTCTGACAGAGCTCTGTCACTAACTCTAGACCCACTGCATCTGGAGGGGAGATTACGGCAGAGAAAGACAGGCTTTTATCTTAACGTTTCAGAAGACAGGTCTGACAGGAGGTGCAGTGGAGGTGTACACAGGAAAGGGACATTTCGGTGAGTCGTAGGCACACGTTACAGTCGGCCCTTCGTATCTGAAGGGGATTGGTTCTGACCCCCTTGGATATCAAAATCCATGCATGTTCAAATGCCTTATGGAAAGTGGTATAGTAATAGATGCAGTACATATACACAATGGAATACTACTCAGCCATAAAAAAGGATGAAATAATGCCATCTGCAGCAATATGGATGGACCTAGAGATTATCATACTGAGTGAAGTGAGTCAGACGGAGAAAGACAAATACCATATGATATCACTTATATGGGGAATCTAAAATATGACACAAATGAACTTATCTACAAAATAGAAACAGACTCACAGACATAGAGAACAGACTGGTGGTTGCCAAGGGAGAGGGGGTTGGGGGAGGGATGGAGTGGGAGGTTGGGGTGAGCAGATGCAAACTAGTATCTATAGGATGGATGAACAACAAGGTCCTACTGTACAGCACAGGGAACTATATCCAGTATCCTGTGATAAACCATCATGGAAAAGAATATTAAAAAAAGAATGTGTACATATATATATGTATAACGGAATCACTTTGCTGTACAGCAGAAATCAATACATTGTAAATCAACTATACTTTAATTAAAATTTTTAAAAATTAAATTTAGAAAACAGAAAAATGTGGTATAGTGTTTGCATATAATCTATGCACATCCTCCCGTATACTTTAACTCATTTCTAGATGACTTATAATACCTAATAAAATGTAAATAGTTGCCAGTATGCAGAAAATTCAAGTTCCGCTTTTTGGAACTTTCTGGAATTCTTCCCCCCACTATCTTTGATCTTCAGTTGGTTGAATCCAGGGATGCAGAAGCCATGGACACGGAGGGCCAAAGGCACCTAACTACCACAGTGTCAGGTGCCTCTGGGTTAGAGTATTGACCAGAGTCTCGTCCCCTCACCAGGCCTCCGAGAGTCCCCTCTTACCGACTCTAGGGATGAGGTTTCCCCAGACCCAACTTTCTCTCTGGCTGCTTTCTCCCATCTTTCTCTCCCTAGATGCCTAGAGCAAGAAAGGAGGTTCTTGAAGATATTTTCCTAGAGCCATAGGCACTTCCTTCACGCTCCCCCAACAAACCTCAAGACACCTTCCAGGATTCAGCTCAGAGGGCCTCCGGGTCCTAGGAGGCTTCCCTGACCGCCTCCCTTCCTACTCAGGGACCTCGCTCCCTCAACTTGTGCCAGACACCTGGTTAAAACGACGACTGTAGTTCATTCTCAACCATCGTGGGCTGGTTTAGTCACAGCGATAATAGTAATAATAATAATTTTAAAATAGTAATCATTTTAATTATTTGGACATTTATAAAAAATAAATGTCTCCAAATCAGAAAAATCACGTGCCTATTAGAAGGTGTCCACTGACCGGCACTACGAAAACCTACGCACATCTGCCTGGGTCTGTGACAGTGTGGGGACAGCCCAGTTCCATCAGCCCCCAGATAGGCACTTACAATACTGGTGCCCAAGCCGAGGTGACAATCTGTTAGCGTCAATTCCAGGACCACGCAAGCTGATGGAAAAACCATTAGCAAGCGACTGGACTGGCACGAGCAGAAGCCAAGGCTAGAGGCAGGCGAGAAATGACAACAGGCGTAGGGGCCATAGGAGGTGAGGCAGCAAAGATGCTGAGGGAGAGCCCCCGCCCCAAAGATCCTGGGCCCCCGGCCG